TGCTTTCTCTCGGTGTTCCCTGCACATAGTTCGGCCGTGTTAAGCAGGCCAAGGACACCTCGAGAGTTTTTCCTTTTCTGTGCATAGTTAATGTTTTCCGGAACTTCGGTTCCGAAGAGCCTAACCTGGCTAGCGACGCAGCCCGCTTTCGTGTGGAGAGGAGGCCAAATGGGCTTGCGTCTAGACATGGCGTTTTTTTAGGTTTTTCCGACCTCCAGGGTTACCTCAGCATGAATGGTTTTCGAGTAGGCAGCCCAGTTAACAGGGCTGAAGAGGAGAGGCTAGAGCCGTGACAAATCTTTAGGACATGTTTTAAGATTCCTAAAGCCCAGCCCCGAGCTCCACCCAAACTGCTCTGACCCACGTGCAGCGCCAGATCTCCCACCTCAGTCAGATCTCCCACCTCGCCAAAATCTGCCTCGACCTTGGATTCGCGCTGTGGCGAGTTGTAAAGCTTGCGCGCCGCCGCCTCGGCAAAGCAGATGCCCTGATTTCCCGCAGAGGAAGCGAGCTTAGGGGTGGCTGCCGGCTTGCTGGCTGACCCCTGAAGCCCTCTTTGCCGCAATGCGCAGCTTGTTGCCCAGGGTGGTGGGAGCTGCCCCAAGAAGAAGTCAAGAAGGCAAGAGAGGATAACCCTAAAGCCCTAAACCCTAAAGCCCTAAGCCCTAAACCCTAAACCCTAAACCCTAAAATTAGATTTTCCCACGCCCCACACCCGGAGGATGCCGACAGCTCAATAGGCCTTCCCCAGGGTGAGCTCTGACGAGGGGGGAGGAGGCCAGACCTTCTGGCCTACTTGTTCCAAACGCCTCTCAGGCCAGGGCTGAGGCGAGAAGTTGTGGTGTGTCTTGGGGTTCCTCCACTCTGGGGTTGCGGGTTTGGGGTTTGGGGTTTAGGGTTTAGGGTTTAGGGTTTAGGGTTTAGGGTTTAGCAACGGCGTTTAGCATCCCAACTTGGGACTCCACGGATTTCGCTGGATTGGTCGTTGCAGATATGCTAAGGGCCTTGGCTTCAGAGCACCTTCGAGTTGTTTGCTGAAGGGCCTTTTCCAAATGTGCTTGAGTCGCCGTCTGAACATGGCTCGGTGGCTTCTCTTGGTAGGTGTTTTTTCCCAGTGGCTTTTTGGAGCACCCGGCCCTCCAAGTAGAACCTTCCAAAAATTTGATGTAAACCCTAAACCCTCAACCCTGAACCCTGAGCCCTCAACCCGAACCCTAAACCCTAAACCCTAAACCCTAAACCGTCGGCCTTTCCGTAGCCGTTTTGGCTGCACCGAAGCATGCAGAACACTTCTGGGCCTTGCCAGTTCATGCAAGCGGACCATGGCCAGTCTGCCTGGGCTTCGGGGCCTCTTGGCAGGTCAACTAGGACCCAGAGTCGGCCCTTGTTTCCTTCTGGTTGGGTTTCCCTCATAATCCCCTTATAACCAAAAAGGGCACCCTTTTCATTCCTAGGTTACTCCTGGGTCTAGTCATCGAAGTGTATGACTGTGTCCTGGCTACCGCCTCATCGCGAGTAACTGAGCAGCTGTTGTATATAGGGGTCTTGACAACACGCGGGGGGGGGGGGGGGTAATCAGTGAACCCCTATAGACCCCCAAGTTATAACAAGGACCCCCAAGAAGGTACCCCTAATATTACGTAAACAAACTCTTGACACCATTGCATCGCGCCCAGGTATGCTGGTTGGGGGCAGAGCATTCTCCCAGGTTCCAACGGCATGGCGGATTCCGCCCGCCCGGCTTTTGAGAATCAGAGGCGCCGCACTTGACCAGCGCTTTGCCTTGGGATGTTCCCCCTTATACTCACAGTCCTTAATATGGGGATTATAGTAAGGGGTACTGCTAGTATACTGGGGAACATCCCAAGCGTGGCCCATTGAACGTATTGTCCTCAGAAGAACCTTGAACCCCAAACCCTGAAGACCGACACAAGCCTTACCTTCGAGAGCCCTGAAAGCTATGCCCCCCTTCATCTTTGGACGGGATTGCTTGCTTCTGGCTTATGTTGCATTTTTTGTGTTTTTCCGGTTTGGGCTTTAGCGTGAGGCAAGCTGGAGAGGGTTCATACACCTGTAGGGTTTCGATACTTTGCTTTTCGATTGCAAGAACTGAAGATCTGACAAATTCAAGCCTCTCGAGACTCCAACAACGCAAGAGTGAAGGTAGTCTAGGACCCAGATTATGCCCGCGCAACCATGCACGCATGCACACGCGCGCTCGCGCACAGGCACGCACCCACCCACGCGCACATGCACAGACGCGCGCTGGCACGCGCACACGTGCACACGCACACACGCACACCCACGCACCACGCGCGCGCGCGCGCGCGCGCGCGCCCCCGCGCACACACACACACACACACTCAGAAAATCACCTTCTCCTGAAGGGATAGGGCCTCAGCAAACGCTGTATCCACGTCTTCTGCACACATGTGCAGCATCAACATCTTCTGCGCTAGGTGTAGCATCAACTTCTTCTGCACTAGGTGCAGCATCAACATCGTCTGCACTAGGTGCAGCATCAACGTCTTCTGCACGAATGCAGCATCAACATCTTCTGCACTGATTGCAGCATCAACGGGTATCCATGAAATCACATGAGTATAGATCTAGATGCTTTAAAACCAAGGACGGTACACAGCTGCCTAAACATCACAAACAATTTTGTTGCAGGTACGTCTTCGAGGCGTCCCTCAAAGATATCACGACAAACTGGAAAGGTCTTCGTTGGGCAGTGCCTTCCAGAATGTCCACTGCCCCCCTGCACTGAAAAGACTCACAAAGGTACAGCGGGCCGTCTTAGTCGCATCGGTATTGGCCTGAAGGGCGCATCTCATGCATTTCACGACACTCCAGCAGATATGACGGGGTCACATCATGGTCACATCAAACACACGCCACCTTGCAGAACACTGTCCGGCAGTGATTTCCAGCGATTTACAAGGAATGTCGCAGTTTGAGGCAACCTAGGAGAACCTCTATCTTTGGGAAAAAAAACCGGCATTGCAGCTCCCGCGCACGCACGCACGCACGCGCACGCACGCACGCACCCCCTGCACTGAAAAGACTCACAAAGGTACAGCGGGCCGTCTTAGTCGCATCGGTATTGGCCTGAAGGGCGCATCTCATGCATTTCACGACACTCCAGCAGATATGACGGGGTCACATCATGGTCACATCAAACACACGCCACCTTGCAGAACACTGTCCGGCAGTGATTTCCAGCGATTTACAAGGAACTGATGCGACCCTCTGCACTTGCTTCCCCGCTGTGGTTGAAGATATCTGATCAACAGCGATACGACTAGAATACCCCGCTGTATCCTATATTCCAAGGTGGCCACACACACAGTAGCCACGGGGGCAACGATCATTCATATCGCAACAGACGCTCCTGGCTAGTTCCCCTCGAAAGTCGACATTAAATCAGCTGGCCAACTGCTGCATGAGATCTCTGAGATCAACTGAAGACAGCGAAGGCAAAAGAATGTAACAGAACGCGCAACACTGAGAAAGAACCTCAACTGCTTCACATAACAGGTCAATTTTTGCAACAGCGCAACATTCGTGCACTGATTGGCTGCAACTCGGAGTGTGCAAATCCGAACTGTACATAAGCATCAAGCAAGGTTCTTAAATCTGTCTCAATCAAGTCAGAAGGGTAAGTGTGCGCACAAATCAATGAGCATCTGCTTCGAAACCCTGACACAAGATGTGCTCTCGCCCCGGCTGAGTCGGGAAGCCGGAATTGCCACGCAGATTTTGGCTGAATAAATCTGATGGTTCGACAAGCGACATCAATGTAGAATCCCAGGAAGTGGTTGTCCTCGACAACTTCGATTTCAACAGGTTTTTGATAAAACCACTTGTCCCGCAGCGTGCGAATGGCAGGATCTCTTCGCAAATGTTCAGCAAAGATCACGAACCGATTGTCGACGTATCTGCAAAGAAAAAAGGAGAGTCGATTCGACCTGAGAAACAAAGAGAATTGCTGCTGCCAAGTGACTTCCTGCATCATAACAGTAATGCTGCTGATAATGGGCGAAATTTGGTTTCCAATGGTGGAACCTCTGATCTGAGCAAAGACCGTGCCGAGGGCCACAAACATGTTGGCCGAAAAGGACACCTGTACCACTTGGAGTAGTTGTTTGATACTCACACGTTTTTTGCTGATGTGGCCCTTGAAGACCTGTCCAGGAAATTGCTCCTCTCTAAAGTTGACGGAAAAATATGTTCATGATCAGCACCGAACATGTGCATATATCTGCTCAGAACAACTTTCACGGCACAGGCACGCACCCACCCACGCGCACATGCACAGACGCGCACTGGCACGTGCACACGTGCACACGCACACACGCACACCCACGCACCACGCGCGCGCGCGCCCCCGCGCGCGCGCACACACACACACACACACACACACACACACACACACACACACACACACACACACACACACACACACACACACACACACACACACACCCACACGCACGCGCACGCGCACGCGCACGCGCACGCGCACGCGCACGCGCACGCGCACGCGCACGCACACGCACACGCACACGCACACGCACACGCACTCATGCGCAGGCACGCACTCACAGGCATGCACACGCGCAAGCGCACACATACATACATACATGCGTACATACATACATACATACCTACATACATACATACATATGTATATAGACAGGTAGATGCAAATGTACGAAGAGGAAGTGGAGGATCTCCGAGCACAGGACGTATAGGCGAGAGCACGAGCTGTTGTGGGGTAAATAAGCAGAATCACGCATTTTGCGATCGCACCTAGACGGGAGCATGCTTTAGCAAAAGAAACACCATGTCCATAGGCGACAACACAAATATCCCATTCAGGTTCCGCAAAACAGTTTTACATTGATTGATCTTGGAGCGTTCGTGAGGGTATCCCTGACCCTAACCAGCTTGTCTGTCGGCAAACGATTGCTTCTGCACACATGTCCCACTTCAGGATGAATCCACAGCAGATCGCTGCACAACAGATCGCTGCGCAGCAGATTGCTGCGCAGCTGAGCTCTGCGCAGTCTGCCGTCGCGCAAGCGGCCGCGAGCGTCGGTGCGTGGGCCAGCATGACCCCGACAAGCACGTGGGCGCCCAACGTTCCGAACCAGGTGCCGATTTCGATGGTTTTTGATTAAGAGATTTAAGAGCGCCTGCAGGGGCCTTCGGGCCTAGATAGCGCAAACCGTATCCCTTCGGAGGCCCTAGGAACATACTTCTGACTTATCCTCCAAACACGCAGCCTGAAAGCAAGCTGCCCCTTCTTTGTAAGCCTGACAGGCTTCCGCCAAGAATGCTATAACACTGCCGCAGATGCTCCCTCATAGAACCCTCTATAACTATTGAAGCTATATTGGAGATCTTAGAAAACTCCCTGCGAGCCGGACAGATTCAGCAGAACTCGCTCCCTCCGTGGGCCAGCACTGCGGCGACTGCGCCGCAAGCGGCGGCAGCTCCTGAGCAGCCGCAGCCGGTCACCAGGGTCAGCCGATGGGGTCAGAGGCCTGAGAAGACAGAGACTCGGTAGGCCCTTGTATGGGGATATTTTGCATTTTCCCATATTTTCCTCTTTTTTTTGGGGGGGTGGGGGGGGCGTGTAAGAGGATCTATTTTTCCCTTTTTTTCGGTTTAAGAGGATCAGATGTTTAGGAACATGTTGTCCGAGGGTTTTTTTCGGGGCCATCCTGGGAGAGCTTGACATTTGTGCAGGCTTTGGTTGCGGTCGGCTTAGCAGCTCTTGTCTTTAGGGGTGGTCTCTGCTTACGCGCCGCGATATCATGCGCCACAAAGCTTACGTAGTTCAGGCCCCCTCCATAGAGCCAGCGTCACAGAACGGCAGCCAGGCAGTTGTTAGGATTTTCAGCGGGTTATCTGGCCTTTTTCGTGTCCAAACTTGGCCTTCCAGAGTCCCCAATCGTCCCACCGCAAGGATAGCTGGTCTGACGGGGAGCAGAAGTGGAAGGACAGGGAGCAGAAGTCCAACTGGTGGTCTGAAAAGTCGCAGCCCTATCGAAACCCCCAAGACGGGGCCAAGACAGAGCCCGGCCCGCAACTTCAGAAAAGGTTTTCTGGGATTCTTATAGGGCTTCGGACCTGCCATGCGCAGAGCCATGTGCCTTGCGCATGCCTTGCGTTCTTGGTGGCCTGGGTGTCTTTGTGGGTTTGTTTGCTGGTTCTCCTGCCTCCATGTCCTTCCCTCGAATCCTTGGCATGCTGCACTGAACCGTGGCTTAGCAGAGGCACCCAAACCCTTGAGTTTTTCAGTTAGTCCAGATGGCAGCAACGACCATAAATCACGACACTCCTGAGAGCCTTCACCCTAAACCCTAAACCCTAAACCCTAAACCCTAAACCCTAAACCCTAAACCCTAAACCCTAAACCCTAAACCCTAAACCCTAAACCCTAAACCCTAAACCCTAAACCCCAAACCCTAAACCCTAAACCCTACTCAGGAGTGGCAGGATCGAGCCCAGGCCAGCCCGCCGGAGCCTTTGATCGCCCCTGACTGGTCGAAGGTTCCACGTCAACCGTGCCTGGGCTTCAATGTCACCAACTTAAGGGGTTTAGGGTTTAGGGTTTAGGGTTTAGGGTTTAGGGTTTAGGGGATCAAAGCACCACGTGGCCAGAGGGTCAAAGGGAGAGGCAGGGTGCAGCACCTTTGGCGCTTATGATCGCGTTGCGTCGCGCAGCGTCAAACGCAAAGGTACACGAGAGCAGTTCTGTACTCGTACCCGCCATGGCAGAAGGCCTGCATGAGCCGCATAAGCGTCACCCAAGCCACAGTTCAGCTTTACCCTCGGCATGTGCATCAGCACGTTCTAGACCGACCATTGACAACAATGATATCAGACATCACCAAGTGACCGTTATCTGTTATGTCAATAGAGCACGGTATGAGTTGGCGATCATTTGCATTGTTGTCGTGGTTTGCTGTTTTTTCGCAAAAAACTCAAGAGAACGCGAGTCTGCTGCATTAGCTAGAGCATCATTGCATCAGACACCTTGTCGAAAACAGAAATGCAAGTCCGTCAATCCGTGTTCAAATCTGTGTTTCAAGGGGGGGGGGGGGGGGGGGGAAGGCCCTTGGCAACGCCAATTTGTTAAATCTTCCACACCTTTGCGGATCAACACATACACGCAAATTTCATGTCTTACATGTTCAGAGTTTCGGGAAGTCAAGGCCATCATCCAAGACGCACTTCAAAACATTTTTGTCGGCCACTGTGTCTCTAGAGCAAAAGCGTTGTGATGAGGAGTTCTTGGCATTGAGCAGAGTTGAAGTTGCAGAACTCCCTTCTTCGGAGAGACCCTTGTTGCCCGTGAACGATTCAGGTTCCAACGCAAGTTCCTTTGCACCCTGCAGCAGGAGGAGCCCGAAGGGGTGTGGGGCTGGGTCTGGGGTTGGAAGTTGGCTGTAAGACGCAACGGCTCGACCCGCTGTGTGCAGTGACCGCTCAAGGGCTGAACCAAGACCCTAAACCCTAAGCCCTAAACCAGCTCATGTCAGTTGCTGCCCGGGCAGTTCGGGTTCACAAGCTTCTCTTGGTAAGATATCCGGCCTTCAAGACGCATGCAGCGAGCATGCTTAGTGCCATTGCCCCTCGGCATGGCTGGAGTTGTTCGGTGCGGCTTCGCAGGAAGAAGGTGCCGAGAAGATGCGGCAGCAGCTGGGGATCTGCATTGAGGATCGAGGCTGGCATGTGCAGGGATCACCGTGAAGATTTGAGGTTGGTCAGGTCAAACCCTAAACCCTAAACCCTGAACCCTAAACCCTAAACCCTTGTCTTCTTGCGGCAACTTGCGATGGGAGTGCCTCCTTTGGAAGGCTCTCTCCTGGCGGCGCCTAAGCCCATCTCTTCCTTCGAGGCAGCACAGTCGTGTTGAAGCTGTCAAGCTGAGAATCTGTGGCTTATCACCCATGGCCTTGAACCCTAAACCCTAAACCCTAGACCCTAAACCCTAAACCCTAAACCTTGAGAACACCGTGCACCGCGGATTGCTCTTCCAGCGCCCCCCCCCCCCCCCCCCCCTCTTAGCTTCTGCGTCCACGTTTGCGGCCCCCCAAAAGTCAGAGTCAGTAGCAGAACTTGCGCATGAGAAGCTGCAGAGACTACGATTTGCTTAGCCCCCCCCCCCCCCCCCCCAAAAAAAAAAAACAAAGTCGAAAAATTGTTAATGCCTATGTTGCCCTTACAAGGAAGAATCTAGTATTTTTTGGGGGGTTCTTCAGCAATTGGTAGGAGAAGGGGCGTAATACATTTTTTGTGTTCGAGGAGCTTCAGGTCCTGCCGCAGTACGTGATTGAGGGCCTTTCGCAATGGAGGCTGTGCTGCACCTACTTGGAGGTTTAGGGTTTAGGGTTTAGGGTTTAGGGTTTAGGGTTTAGGGTTTAGGGTTTAGGGTTTAGGGTTTAGGGTTTAGGGAGGTTCAGGGCACTTATGAACCAATTCGAATGAGTACTTATAACCCACTTCTAAGTCCCTTAAGTGCCCTAATATGGTTAGAATTGTAAACGCTTGCGCGCGCCGCCTCGTCAGCCGGGCCGGCCTACGGAGGGGAGGAAAGAGGGTTTCTGGAAAAGGTCTCAAGAAAAGGTGGAGGGGGGCCCAGGGGTCCCAGAGGTCCCAGGGGGGGTCCGGGGGTTTGGCATTGGGTTAGGGAGACCGGATCCGTGTCTGCTTGTTCCAAACGCTTCTCGGCAGCAAGCCGAGGCGAATTTGGGTCATAAGTACAGTATAGTTGGTTAGTTAGTGCTGAGCACCCTCCCCGGAGCTCTGTTGCACGTCATCCAGCGATGCCGACATCTGGCGACCAGGATGTGCTGCTCGCGCTTGGCGTGGGGCGAGGTTCCTACCCTGACCTTACGCCTTAAGCCTATCCCTAACCCCAACCCCAACTCCAACCCTGTAACCCTACCCGTGCCCTAACCCTAACCCTATCTCAATCAACAACTTGAACCCTACCTTAACTCCAGCCCCAGCCAGCCATACCCTAACCCTCACCCTAAATCTCACTCTTTCCTAACCCTACCCCAACCCTACCCTAGTCCAAACCCTACCACAACCCTACACATACCCTCACCCGAAGTCCAGCCTCAAATTACGGTTTCCGGGCTTGGGGGAACTCGACCCTTACCCTCCCCTTGGATCCACGAAGCAAAGTCCAGCGACTCGCCCGTGCAAGTAGCTTCCTTGCTAATTGAGATAACCCGGCCTCTGCCTGAGATCCTGCAAAGCCTCAGAAGCCTCAGGAACATCAACGCCCCCATGCCCGTGCAGTCTCAGGTGCTCCTGGGGGTTAGGGGCTTTCCGGGTTTGGCTTTGCCTTGGCATGCTGCAGCCGTCTCTTGAAGGTTTGGGGCCTGGGCTTCGTTGAGGGAACTCTTACGATTTGTTCGATGTTGGGGGGGCGTCTCTGTGCTTGAGTTGCCAAAGAAACGTCCCCCGAATTCACTCCAATAAATACTTAATTAAAGTCTGGGGCTTTCAGTTCTTGGTGTGGCGGGCGCCAAAGCCCGGCTATCGCCTCCCTGCTCCTGAGACCTTAAACTGCACTCCTCTTTCTTCCTTGGGATATTTTTTTGTTTGAGTAGCCTCTTCATGCAGGTTCGTGAATGCCCTCTGTGTGAGGCCTCGGAACCCTCGCCCATGTGCGAGAATGAATCAGACGACCTTGCCCAGGCTCTTCCGCTGGCCATGTCCGGCTGCAACCTTGTCGGCATCGCGCAGACAGGCGCGGAACACAGCTACCAGCAAAAGGACCCTGCCACTTCTGACATGAGCACCACCCCCCCTCCCCCCAGTACACACACACATGACATCCAATAAGTCGCAGCACATGGCCACAGCATGCCGCAACCAAGATTCCGGACCAAGATCAAGCAGAACGCTTAAGTGTCCCCTCAGGTAGCGGCAAGACCCTGGCATACCTGCTGCCTGCCATTGTCCAAATAGAGGCCTTGTGCAAGGGCTTGTGCCAAAGTCTGCTTAGACGCGGCTCCTGGCTCTTGGTTTCAGGAACGCTTCAGCATGCCAAGCAGAATTTTCCGAAGGAGATTCGGGTGTGAAGTTTGCCTCGGGCATCGGTACTGTCGGCTCATATAGGGACCCCGATGGGGCGTGAGAGCAGGATACTGCAAGTCACTGCAAGCAATGGCCTTCGGGTCAACTTGCGGTCAGGGTGTCGCCTTACTAGCCCCAGTCCTCCACGTCCCACTTGTGTCCGCCCTCAAACTACCCTTTGCTGTTCAGGCACAGGAGCCTGTGCCCAAAGGCTCCGTGCTGCCGATCGCGCTCCTGGTCTTTGCTTAGGATGCCGTGCATGGAGCAGGGATCCGTTGTCCAGCTTTTTCCGAGAGAACATGTGGTGAAGTCCCACCCTCGATCGAATCTCGACAAATCGTAGGCGCACAACTTGACCACGTGCTGAGAGTGCAAGGCATACTGCAAGGTGCTAGCCGGAAGGAGCGTTTGTGCCAAGAGCCTCTAAGCGGCCAAACAGGAGTGGTAATGAACAGGTTCAAAAATTCCGTAAGTCTGCAAAACAAGGTTGATCTTGGCGCCGACGCGGGAGCTGGCAGTGCAAATCACGGAGGACCCGACCCGCTCTATAGGCCTTAGATGATGTAGAGAATATACAGACATGATAGGACTCTCGGATGTAAGATCTGAGGTATTGTGAGGTCAGACACGCATCTCGGGTTGAAGGCTTTGGGCGCAGATTAGAGTGGCTCCAAGGGAGTTTTCCGATGTGCGTTTGTCAAGCCTTGGCTCGATTCTTCAAACTCTGATCCCAGGAGGCCACGAAGGTCTTGCGTGGATCCAGAAGTGGTTCACACAAGCAACCCGCATGATTTCAGGTGCTGCTTGCGGGACTCCGGAAACCGAAGTTTGAAAACGGAGCAGCAAGCACGCGCACATGTGAGCGATTGTGCGCGACTGCGTGTGCTCACCCATCCAGTCATCCACCCATGCATGCCTTTGCATCCGCCCAAGCCATCCCGGCAGCCCCCTTCGAGCCACCACCCACCGACCACGCCACCTTCCACACGTGCATGCCATCCATGCGCGCACGCGCAAACACAGGTACCAGGCGGAGGCACAGGCCCGTGCATTCACAGGCGCTGGCACAGAAACATGCCAGAAGCAGGGTTTGAATTACTGTTATTGGTGAGTGTATATAAGGGCTCCTTTTTAATATTGGTGAGTGTAGATATTGGGTGTCCTTTTGGGGGTACAAGACATATAAGCCCTCTTCCATGTGCAGGCACACATAAGGCTTCTTTCACCATTGGACCATCCAATCAGGAATGGCATTTGGGCATCCTCGGTCTATGGTGGTGGCAAGAAATACGAACAGCAGCTCGGCAAGTTGTGGTGGTTTTAGTCATTTTTTGTCCAAGGCCCCTTGCGACTTGAATGGCCCATACTCAGCTCCAGATTTCCGAGCTGGTGTAAGAAACGCAATCCTGCAGCCTCACTCTAAACTGCATGCCGCCCAGGATCAAGAACTTGCAGTGGGGCTGCGAGGTCGTAGCTGCCACCCCGGGTCGCCTCATTGACTTTCTCACGTCCAAGGTCATGCCTCTTGGCCGAAAAGCAGACATGCGCGTGAGGGTTCGGATTGAGGGATGGGCGGCTCGTCTTCATTTGGATGGGGTGTCTTCTTGCGACATGCTCTCCGGGACAAGCCTGCCCCTCGATGGTAAGATGGCAACCCTCGACTTTTTGTGAATTCCGTCATCATCAGTCATCATCAGTCACCATCAGCCATCATCAGCCATCATCAGCCATCATCAGCCATTATCATCCATCGTCTTTCTCATCTTCAGCTTCAGCTTCAGTCATCAACATCAATGTATAATATGACCCACATACCTAGTATGTTGCAGCTATATTACAACTGACATACTGTGTACATACGTATATAAAGTATATTCATGTATGTGTATATTTATATATATAGAGAGTGTATACATATACAGTGCAGACATAATGTCAATTGTTTACGTATATATTGTGTGTCTCGTGTATATGTACACAGAATGCCAATTCCCCCCCATGTACCTAGCGTGTGTGTCTTGAACTAGCCTTGCTTCTCTGCATTTCTGAAGAATTAGTTACAATCCCTGTTTTTCTTGGTAAAGTTCGAGGGGGGGGGGGGGGAATAAAAAGGTTTGGAATGTTACTGATTCATAACGATGCCTGAGCAGCTATTTGAGTCACGAGATGCTAGAAACAAAGGATAATGTTCTAGTTGTTTAGATTTCAGGGAGTCCGAACAGTTGAATGAGAGTCAAGACTGATCGTGTTAGATCTTCTCCGTGTAACTGCTTGAAAGAAGTACCACACAGGAGCCGCAAGAGTAGTCCCATGAAGTCAGTTAGTAGAAGTAAGAGTTATTTTGCCAGTTCAGCTGCTTCAATGAAGTCGGGGTGGGGGACTGAATATGGTTGGTCTCGGAACTACATACATGCATTGTTCGAAATGTCATGTTGCAAGGGAGCCCGAACAGTATCGGAAGTAAACTGCAGAAAATGAAACTAATGTTGAAGGACGTATCATGCAAGTGAAACAAAGGGGGCTGTGTAGGCTCACAGCCATTTCGATTCAACGTAAATATGTTAGTGAAAAATTACCCAGATGTCAGGTGTGGGACATTTTTCGAGGGGCACGTTGCATCCAAGTGAGCGGAATCCTTTTCACCATCCCACTACTGAAACCCCCTCCCCCTAAACCCTAAACCTGAAACCTTATAAGGACTAAACCCTAGTAGCCCTAAACCCTAGCAGCCCTAAACCCCAGAAGCAGACCTCCGAAGCACCGCGGTAGCCCCAGCCATATAGAGATGAAACAATTTGAGGAGCCTCGAGCGCGTGACGCTTCTCGACACTTGGCATGCTCCCACTATGGGGGGTTGGAATAATTACTACTCGCATTTCCTTATGGTCCCTCTACAAATATACTCTAAAGACCCCTATTCTAACAGTATAGGCTCCTACCCGGCCTTGGCGGGGCGGTGGGCTTCTTATGGCTTCGGCTTGGCAGGCTATGTGAGGTTCTTGGGGTTTAGCTCCAGGAGCATGGCGACCGCGATCCATGCATCCTAGACCTTGAAGCATATAATATGGGTTTAGGGTTTAGGGTTCAGGGTTTAGGGTTTAAATTTAGGGTTTAGGGTTTAGGGTTTAGGGTTTAGGGTTTAGGGTTTAGGGTGGCACATTCATACCTGCCTGTGTTCGAACCATTTGGAGGAAATCCTTCTTAGTCTCTTCGCCTGCTGCAGGTCTTAGATGAGGCCGATCGCATGCTCGTGGAGGGCTTCGCTGAAGAAGTCAACATCATTTCGGCGCAGGCGCGCCGCGGAAACATCAGAGTCCGCAGACAGAAGCGTTGCAGCCTCTATTGAGTTGCTATGGTGTGCGCGCCCCTGGCCAACAAGCAGCAAGCAGCAGTCCACGTCCTTTCTCAGCGGCTCTGGGCTCATGGGGGGGGGGGAGGAGTTTGCAAGTTTTAGGGATCCCCCTTAGTTTCGCAAACCCTGGGGTGCCTTATTCTAAGGGGAATCTACCATTTCGCCTCCTTTTTGGGCGTAAAGCCCCGAAAGTTGCCGCAGATCCGGCCAGAGCGGCAAGTGCTGTTCTTCTCGGCGACCTGGGCCGCAGAGGCACTTGCCAGAGATGTGTGCGTTGTTTCGGGACCCAAATACAGACTAAAAATGGGGTAATAGGAAGGGACTAATAGGGGGGTACTAGGGGGGGGGGCAATAGGGGGACTGTAGGGTTTGCTCTGAGCTTAAAGACCGGTAGTAGGGTTTTAAGGTTTAGTGGTCTCCTGTCGAAGGTGCAAGCGCTTGCTGCCGGCCTCTGCCACAGCTCCCAGCCGGTGCGGCTGTCTGTCGACCAGGACAACGTATGAAGGTGTGTTGCCGGCCAATAGAACCCCCTATTACCCCCCTATTAGTCCTTGCCCCCTCTTACCCCCCTTGGTGCCCGCCTATTAGTCCCTATTACCCCGCCGATTACCCAGAACTGGGTTTTTGGCTCCTCCAGGAGCATGGAAGCTGCATGAAGGCCGCGCGAAAGGCACGGCAAGGAATTGTCCAGGAGGTGGTCGTTGTGGCCTGGCAGATCCAAGAAGACAACGGGAGTATCTGGGGATGTTCCCCCTTTTACTAACAGCCCTTGATCGGGATCATCATGGGGGGGGGGGGGAGGTACCATAATCCCTACTAAGGACTGCTAGTATAAGGGGGAACATCCCAAGACAAATCTGTTGTTTTACATTAGGCACCGCATCGGTTTGCACCAGCAATCAGGTCGATTTCCCGGACGACTACGAGAAGCAGGTGGCCGAGAAGAGAAGGCGTCTGGACGATCATCTCCACGAGGCGAATCGCAGGGTTCAGCAGACCCTACAGAGGTTACGATAGGTTCAGGGTTTAGGGTTTCGGGTTGAGGGTTCAGGGTTCAGGGTTTAGGGTTTAGGGTTATCATGGGGTGTAGTTTGGTTAAGGGAAGTGAAGTTGGGGGTGTGGAGTTGGGCCTTCTGACCTTTCCGCCAGAAGCGAGGGGTAGCTCATCGTCTGCAGGGTGCAAAGCCTTCGATGCCTGTTGAGGTCCTTTGGTCCTCAGCGGACAACAAAGTCTTAGTCTTCGTGTCTCAAAAGACGCGACTCGGCGCACAAGTGGTTCGACTCTGAACGTAACGCAGCGGGCATCCTGCACAGAGTGCTGAAAGTTTCGATGGGGTTGGGAGGGGGGAACCCTAAGCCCTCAACCCTAACTTTCGGGGTGGTGCGGGTGCTGGGAACTGTGCTTTGTGCTTTCCAGGTCGTCCTTTTGTTTTGCGGCATTGGGCATCCTGTAGCAACCAGTATCTATCATTTGCAGCTTGGAAAACTGATCTTCGAGGTATGCAGACGAGCTGGCAACGAAGCTGTGGGACGTGACACGCAAGCACTGTGAGTCGAAATGATTTTTAGAAGATTGCGGGCTTCAGCACATTCATGGATTCATCCAACGCGAGGGTAGCTGCCGAACATTGCATTCAGAGGCGGTTTCCATCAGCCGAACACGTGTAGCAATTCCTGCAGGTAACGGCCCATGTCATATCTGTACATAGACCGCATATGTATGTACTCCTACCTTACCAAGACGCCCCCCCCCCCCCCCCCCTCCCCTCCCCAGCCCCAGGCGGGCTTCCAAGCCGCAGCCATGCATGGCATCTTGGCTTTGTAAGGTGCTGTTTAGGGTTAGGGTTTAGGGTTTCGGGTTTTGCGTTGTGCAGAGACACCCCGGAGCTTGACATGGGGCTTTACGAAGATAAGGGGGCCCTAATACAGCCCCCAAGTAATGAGATTCCCTTATCATCAGGACCCCCATAAGGCACCCCCTAATGTCGGAAAGCCCCCTAAACCCTAAACCCCAAACCCCAAAGCCCAAACCCCAAACCCGAAACCCTAAACGCTAAACCCCACATGTTAGAATCTTAAGACTCCCTTCCAGGTGGAAAGTCCCAGGAGGCCCGCCTCGCCACCCTAGACCGCTTCCGCAAGGGCGAGCTGAGGCAAGATAGGGTTTAGGGTTTAGGGTTTAGGGTTTAGGTTTAGGGTTTAGGGTTTAGGGTCCTCCCGTGAGCTCAGAGGGTGGGCGTTTGAGAGCGAGAGGTCTTACCATGTCTTACCCGGAACTGTATCCATGTCCCTTCGCCGGGAGGGTTCCCCAAGATTCCGAGAACTTCTCAGGCTGCTTGTGGCCACTGACGTCATAGGGCGGGGCATCGCAACTGGGCTCCAAACAGTTGGTATCTGTTAGGGGGACGCCGGAAAGCTGGGGGGAGTAGCTGATCATTTGCGACCCGAAGCCCTAAACTCTAAACCCTAAACCTGCCACCCCTCTCACCTGCTGGATGGCACCATAGACCTGAACACCGAGGGTCTATATTGGGGGTCCCTGATTATAAAGGTATCCTACTATTTGGGGGTCTATAAGGGGGATCCCGTACTATCGTAATTGGTCTCCAAGTTGCCTCCAGCTTTCACGGCTCGTTCCCGAGTGCCGTGCACTGAGTTGAACCAAAGGGGCCCAAACCCGCCGTCGAGAGAGTATCCTTTGGGTTTGGGGTTTAGGGGTGAGGGCATATAATACGTAAACCCCAAACCCCAAACCCCAAACCCTGAACCCTAAACCCTAAACCCTAAACCTAAACCCTACCCCAGAACCATGAGCCAAGGACATCCCATCCGTGTCCCATGTCGTGGTGTTTGACATGGGTGGTGTCGAGGCACTTGGGAAGGGCTTGTGGAGGCTTATAAGCTTCCGTGCGCGCAGGTCTCGGTGAACAGGTTTTAGGGTTTAGGGTTTGGGGTTTGGGGTTTGGGGTTTAGGGTTTAAGGTTTAGGGTTTAGGGTTCAGGGAAGCTCTGAGGGCAAAAGGGTTGAGGGTGTTGGTGGTGTCTTGGGGCTGGTGTTTGAGGACTTAGGGCTCCGCAATCCAAACCCCCAAGCTCCAAACTACCTAAGATTTCGAACTCCACAGGGGGCTCAAGGAGGGACCCCTGGAAGGGACCCTTAATCTTATTTTCCTTTTTAACCCCTATGTATACCTTCTTTAGTCCCTATATGCCTAAGTGGCCTCCTAAATAACCTCTAAAGAACCTCTAAGGTTGCTTATAAGGGTCCCTCCTTTAGTCCCTTGAATTCCGAATTCTGTTTTCCACCTTGAAAAGCCCCGAGCTTTGTTGCAGCAGCACTGTGGCACGCAGGCAGCAGCCCTTTTCTATACACGTAATGTGAGAAGAATCCTCTGCATGAAACTCCATGTCCGCTCCGCATGTTCCTTCAGTGCACCGAAGCATCATGAAGGATGCCTTTGTGAATCTGTGTAGCCGGTAGTGAGCAGGACTACATCCATCGCATCGGCCGCACTGCCCGCGGCAAAGACGGCACCGGCCACGCGCGCTTTCGACCGCAAGTAGGTTGCAAGCACAGCCCTGAAGCCACTGCAACCCTGAAGCTGCAAAAGCAGATGCACAAGGTACAGGTATAGGGTTTAGGGTTTAGTGTTAAGGGTGACAGAGCGGAAAGGCTGAGAGTTGTTGGCGGGCGTGGACCCAAAAGGGATGTGGAGGTTCATGATCAATCGCCAGCCCCCGTCATGGCCCTCCCCCCCCTTCCCCGCCTTTTTTCTGTGGTGCTGTTATGCAGGTAGTGGGGTCCAGCTGCCTTCGAGTACTGCGTTTGAGTTCTCTGGAAATCTAGATCTGCGCACGATTCTGTAAGCCAGCTTTTCCCCTGGCATGCTCCTATGTTGGCGATGCTGAGGCTCGTCTTCTTCGAGTATTGGCACAAGGCTGCGGCTGGTTCAGGGCGGCTTCAGCTTCAGCTGGTTAAGTTCGGTTTTTCACTTTGATAGTGCTGTTTATGCATGTGAAGTTGTAGCCTCTATATGGGAAGCTCGATGGTCAAGATCTGAGCAGCTGGAGCCTCTCGAGTTGGCCACGTCGTGGTGCGCTTCAACGGAGTCGTCTCGTGTGCTGGCCACTGGAGGTCGATGGCCCGGCCTAGCCAATGAAGTGATGCCGGTATGCGCCCCAAACAGCGCCAGACACCGACGACAACGACGACCGATGACGACTCATGACGGCGGGAGCACATCCAGGGCCCAAAGCGGTTGGCGCATGCGCATGGGCCGGAGGCGGGAAGAAGTCTTCCATAAGAAAGTCAAGAAGCCCAATCAGAGCCCCTAGGAGATTCCTGACCCTTGAACCCGCTGCCGTGCCAACGCGTGTATAGGCGAAGGCGCAATCATAAGTACAACGACCTTCCCTCCCATGTCGGAGCCCCATCGTGTTGAAACAGAGTTGGGTCATCATCAATCATTGCTCGACTTCCACAGTTCGCCCCCTTTTCTCTCCTTCAGCAATAAGTACCCTAAACCCTAAGCATTGACTTGTTAAACCCTAAACCCTAAACCCTAAACCCTAAACCCTAAACCCTAAACCCTAAACCCTAAACCCTAAACCCCAAACTAATTTGCTGATTGTTTCAGGATCCCGGCATCGCCGCCGAGTTGGCGGAAGCCTTGGCCAGTTCGGGTCAGCCGGTTCCACCGGAGCTGCTGGCTGCAGTTGTTCGGGGTTTAGGGTTTAGGGTTTAGGGTTTAGGGTTTAGGGTTTAGGGTTTAGGGTTTAGGGTTAAGAACGTCTCCTCAGGCGAGCGGAAATTTCAAGAGATGGAACATCGTGGTTGAAGCCATTGTTTGAAGGTGTTGAGTCTCGGGACAATCTTGCGTAGTACTGGTTGAATACCAACGCGCTGAGCATGTGCTGTTTCTTCGCATATACTCTCGAACCCCACATCTCCGAAAGAGCCTGAGTCACATGCCGGAATGTCCCCTCCCTCTCTCCCCGCCCCCTTCCTTAGTTGGCCATATCGCTACGATACTGCACATGCGTAACATTGCTGTGCTTGTTCGTCCTTCTCCCAGCCCTCGCTGTGTCGGGAGCAGGAGCTCTTAAAGATCGTCCAAGAGGTGGCAGCCGGACAGAGGCAAGTGTGGAAGGCCCTGACACTTTAGGGTTTTTTGGGGTTTGCAAGGACTATGAGGTGCTGAAAAGTGGGGGGCAAAAAGCCGACCTTCTTGTCGATGTCATGTTGGCGGGCTTGCAATAGCGAGCTGAGTGATCTGTAGCAGTGGCTCTTCTCCGTGAATCAGTAAGACGCTGGGTTGGTTGGGTAAAGAAAGAAAGCCCAACAGAGCCCAAGTTCTGCAACATGTCCGTAGCATGCGTCAACAGTCGCCCCCCCTCGGGGCCGCAGACCCTCTAGTCCCTGCCTCTTGAGCTTTTGAGCAACTCACCACCTTGACCTCAGGGAAACAACTCGAAGTGGTCCGGAAAGCGATGGGCCAGCAATGAGTGGTCCAGAAGCGAATATTCTAAGCATTGTGCAGACTAGGTTCTGCAACTTGATTATGTCAGAACCCTCAGAACCTTTCAAAACTCGAACCGGGGAGCTGTGCAGATCAGCTGTGCCCGCATGCTCTTGCTACCTGGTTACCTAGTCTGCATGGCACATTCGAGGATGTGATCCTTAAGGAATGCCAGCGAGCGAGCGTGACAAGAAGAGCGAGCCGTCAAAACTGCTGTGGGTCTATGGCTGGGGGTTTGAGATTGTCTTGCCCGAACAATAAGATTTCGTTCAAGTGCAGCCATGGACGGGTTCAGGGCCACCGATGCTGCAGTTGATGCAGCGGGATCTCGGAGGCCAAATCATGGGGGGGCCTCTATTCCTGTGCCCCACAAGTAAGTAAGGACAGGCAAGCCCATGTGAATGCCTTGCGGGTCGTGCTGCTTCGTCTAGCGATCTCCTTGCCTTCAATGGAGAACCACTGCTAAACCTTAAGCCCTAAACCCTAAACCCCAAACCCTAAACCCTAAACCCCAAACCATAAACCCTAAACTCTACATAAACCCTAAATGCACACAGCAGACTCACATCCCCTTGACTGAGGGGCGCAAGGTGACCTTTGCCGGGAGACCCAGATGATTCCGTAGCCCCCCCCCCCCCCCCCCCCCCCCCCCGAACACCCCTTGCAGTCGGCAGAGCGGTCCCGGGTCCTGTTAAAGTTTAGGGTTGCGGGTTTAGGGTTTAGGGTTCAGGGTTCAGGGTTTAGGGTTCAAGGTCTAGGCACCTGAGTCGCAAAGATTTGCGACAGGAGCCTCAGCTTGCCCCTGGGCAGTTGAGACTCTGAATGGGAGTTCTCTTGTTGCGGCCGTAGCTACTATAGGGGTCGGAATAAGTACCAATAGTATTCCCTTATGAATGTACTATACTAACCCCCAAGCCCCTATTCTAATTGTTAAGGCCCCCCCCCCATATTACATCATTACTAGAAGCTCCTTTCAAGAATCCTGAGCCTCAAAAATCTCAACCCCGGCGCCGGATGAGGACCGAGCTGACCTAAACATTTGACTTCTCAGCCCGAGGGTCTTCAAGACATAGCCCACTCGAAGTCTTTCGCCGTGAATGTCATGTAAGTCCACAGGGAATGCTCCTGCCTGCATCCTGCTCAAGAGTAAGCAGAAAACTGGCTGTTGTTCTGGAAGTCCTGAAGCTTCTGAAGCCACCAGAAAGTATCCTAAACTGGACCAGTCCGATGTCCTCGATGCTGGCGGCAATCTCAGCAGTAGTTTGATCCAAGTTTGTGGTCAGTGCTCACGGGAGTTCCAAGGAGAGGTGTTCTGAAGTGCTTCGCATGTTTACTTCGGCCGTCAGGTTCGTAACCGGAAGCAAAAGGGCAGGACCCGATACATGTCAAGTGCAACTAAGTGAGTTATGACGGCCCATTCTTCTACTGTTGCAAAGTGCATTCAGATCGCGACATCGCTGCAGATGAATAAGCGATTGAAGCCGGCATTGGTCGTCACCAGGTTTAATCTCAGCCCACGGTATCGAATAGCAGTAACTAGCAAAGCCAGAAGATGTTGGCAGAGTGCTGATGCGTGAAGAAGACGTTGACGGAAGTCTCTTGACATCCATCGCAGAAGTATCGCGGGCAAACACTACATGTCTTAGAACGCTGACGGGAACGACGCCTTGATTGATGAAGTGGGTGTCACAAGCAATTTGTCCACGTGCCTTCCATCAACCCTGCAAGACCCCACCCAACCCCCCATAAAACCAAATGCAGCAACCAAGCGTCTGAGTCCAGAGCCCAATCCAGATATCAAGTACCAAAGCCAGTGCTACTTAGGCCGGACGGGATTGGAGGAACGAAAGCTGACTGAGGGTAACATTGAGGACTGCTGAGTATGGGGCTTGCATCGGCTGGAGCGGATGCGAAATCGGGTGCTGAGACGAGCCGTGCCAGTCCAGTTGGCTAGCGCAGTCGCCATAGTCATCAAGTCGTGCACAACGAAGCATACCCTCAGCCCTAAAGCCTATAAGTGTACAGCGCGTCCACGTTGATGGCTGTTCATGGTGGGCCCTAAACCCTTAACCCTGAACCCTGAACCCTAACCCTAAACCCTAAATCCTAAACCCTAAACCCTAAACCCTAAACCCTAAACCCTAAACCCCCAACATGTCCTGTGGTGTGTGCTGAAACGGCATCTCGAACCCTTTGCGAAGTACCAAAGGAGCTTCGCAGGTGCCAGCCCGTCTCTGTTGATGACGCCATCGTCGAGGCTGAGACTCCTCAATCTTATAAAGTTTATTCGTATTATGATATTACTATTATTAATATATATATATACATGCAAAAATGTCTGTCTATATATATATATATGTATCTGCAAAAATGTCTTTACATGTCAGCGTATTCGTATGTTGAAAAGGAATATATTTACAGCTTCCTATATGAACACGTTGTTCATCATATACTTCTATATGATTGAATGATTGTATTGTTATATTGTTATACTATTATGCTAAACTAGTGATATATTATAGTACAGTGATTGGAATTTGGTTTTGGGTGGGGTGCTCCGGATGCCTGCGAGGCCGGCGTGGGCCCCACCCAGTACAAGCTGCTGTTCATCTGCGGCCTCACGTTCTGCTCGGATGCGGCAGAGGCAGAACCTACGGATGAGGGCCCGGATGTTGAGATACTCATGATCATATGGGTGGTGGTCAAAATCATGATCGTTTGGGGTACCCTAAAAATTGGCGCCGCATTACAATGGGGTTCCAAAAAGGTACCATAAATTTTGACAGCCACCCATATGTCTGGAAGATGTAAACTGCGCTGTCGAGGGGCTTGTGCTGTGAAGTAGCATGCGTTTCACGCGAATTCGTCGGATTGGCAGGTTTTCTTTATGTCCTGCATGAGCATTTTCGACGTACTTCCGACTGTTTCCAGATGGACGCATCCTCCTTGGAATTGTATCTTCTGCGCTAGAGTACCCTCTGCGCTAACTGTACGTCTCGTGGAAGTCTTGCAGGGAAAGACTGTTAGGCTTCGTACCTTTTTGTGGGGTGTCACCAAATTTTGTATGTCTGTCCTTTAGGTGCCTCACACGATAACGCGCAGGACAGGATACGCACAGGCATGCATGACGGCATTCTTTCCGACGCCTGCAGGTGACCTTCCTCTCGTATGTCACGGAAGTGCTGTCACTTTCCCAGCCCCTTCCTCTTTCGCTCTTCTCTTCGCTCCTACACAGAAGCGTGCTTCTCTTGCTTGTTTGATTGCTTGTTTCATTGCTTGTTTGTTTGCGTGTTTGTGTGTCGCAAACCTCTTGCGTGTTCGTCTTGCGTGTTGTGTGTGTTTTGCGTGTTTGTTTGTCTGTTTGTTCGTTCGTTTGTTTGTTTGCCTGTTTGTGTGTTTGGATGTGTGTTTGGATGTGTGTGTGTGTGGGTGGGTGGGTGTGTTGTGCGTTTTCTGCGTGTGTGATGTGCGGTTGTTGGTTTATTCGTTCTTTGCTGGTTTCTTGTTGGTTGTTGGCTGTTGGTTGTTGCCGTTGCTGTTGCTGGCTTTGTGCTTCGTGCCTTGTGCTTTGTGCCTTGTTTTTTGGGTGGACCTTTGAGTCACCTCGATTGAGTCGAAAGAAAACATGCATTGAGCTGGAAACACCCGGAACCCGAGTCCTGGAGGAAACCCGGTCAGCCCCTGTAAAAAGTGATGATCAGTTGAGGGTTTCGGGTTGCGAGGGGTTTAAGGTTTTGGATTGTGCTCTCTTGTTTTCCGACTCGGCCTTTTTTGATTTTGGAGTCCTGTGGCTGCCGTTCCGGACCACGAATCGGCCCAGCTTTTGTGAAACACTGTCAGCCTGTACACTAGGTCCGGTAGGCCCTTGAAGTATTTCATATTTTTCTCTGTCACTGACTATGTGAGCCCTTGAAATGTGTCATATTTCCCCTTTGTTAAGAGCCTCATATTTAGGAACATCTTCAGAGGGTCTTTAAGGGCCGTCCTAGTACATGAAACCAGCTGGGACACAAGCTCCACCGAGGCGATGCGAGTGGGGGCTGACGTCGAATCAGGCCAGGGCTGGAAGCCATCACAGGGGTGTAGGGCTTAGGGTATCTTAGGGTCTAGGGTTGTCTTGGGGCTTGGGTTCTTGCAAGTCGTGCAGGTCCTACTGTGCAAGACCCGGTTTCTGGAACCGTTGTCGCAGAGCAACAGCGGCTGCTGTTCGTATGACGGTAGTTGCAACAGCTCTCTCCGAAATTGGCGCTGACACGACATCCAACACTTCGCTCATGGTGAAGACCTTGCACGGGACCGCAACATTGTAGATTCATCGCAACATTCATAGGCTCTAGGACATTCTTGTAACCAGAGGGCAAAATGGCCTGATCCGTTGGGAATGGACCGCTACATGTTCCCAGGAAGCATAAGTCGGGAGCGCGGGTCCAGGTCAATCCCGTTCGTTCCTCAGAAGCAACCAAAGAGACCACGAGCAGCATCAACAAACGCAGCTGGGCCCTCGATTTGTTCATGAGGGTACGTGCGCTCTCATGGCCTATAGACCTTGGGATGTTCGCCCTTATACTAACAGTGCTTAATGCTCGCAGGGATTATACTCGGGGGTACTATAACCCCGATATTCCCCAACCTAGACCTGACCCTAAACCCTAAATCCTAAATCTTAAATCCTAGACCTTAAACCCTAAACCTTGAGCTGGGCAGGAGTCTCTGATCACGTCCGCGGTCTTCGGCGGGATGGTCGTCGGGGCGCCGATCTGGGGTCCTCTTGGCTTGAATCAAGTACGGTTTAGGGATTAGCTGGGGTTTAGGGTTTAGGGTTTAGGATTTAGGGTTTAGGGTCAGGTCTAGGTTGGGATGTTCCCCCTTATACTAACAGCTCCTTAATAGGGAGTAGAGTATCCCCTGATAGAATTCTGATTAAGGAGCTGTTAGTAGAAGGGGGAGCATCCCAATTGAAAAGGTTGAATCCTCGCTTTTTGGACCTTGCTTTGGGGATTCGCCTGGTTTGGACCTCTGGAGCGAG